CCTTTACGTCTCTGGGTCTCCCAGAGAAGGTCGAATTTCCCGGGGGGTGTGTGTTTCCATGGAGCCGCCTGGCTGAGCGTGTGGCTCTTTGCCCTTCTTGTCCTGCCAGGCGTTGCTGCTGAACGGATCGCTGCCGGAGGACGAGCAGGAGCAGTCGCTGGGGCTTTGCAAGCAGGAAGCCAGTCCTGAAGAGCAGCTGGTGAGGCATTTCTCCCGACCCCCTTCCTGAACGGGCTGAGGGGGCACTGGGAAATAACGGCTCCCTTTGGCCTTTAGGTCATCCTCCGGAGCCGCCTGGATCAGAGTCTGGAGGAGAACCAGGACCTGAAGGTGAGCAACACCTGGAGACGGAAAAAGGGCTGCTCGAACCCTTTTAGGAAGCTGCTGCATCCAGAGGTGCCGGGACAGGAAGTCCTTAACATACGACTGTAATGAGGCCTGCCTGTTAACGGTTATTTGTCTGGACGGTTGTAAAATGAGTCAGTTACGTGACCAGACCAACCTGATTTTATGACTTTTTTGTGATGGCCTTAAAGCACATACATACTGTGGTTGTTAAGGCAACCGTTGGGTTCTGGGCGTTCTTGGCATCTGGCCTAAAGGGCAGCCAGGCTTGGGCGTGCAGAATTGACTGCAACCAGGATGTGGGGAGAAAGGAGCCGAACCCCCTCTCCTTTCTCTGGCTTCCTTGCAGAAGGAACTGCAGACGTGCAAGCAGGACAGCCGAAACCTGCAAGGTATCAAGGTGAGAAGGAACTTTTGCAAAGGAGAGGGTGAGGAAGGAAGCAGGCAACTTTGACGGTGGGAGGGGTCTCCAGAAGCCCTTGGGGGGCAAAATTAGACGGACATGCTACAGTCTAGGAAACAAGTAAAGTAAGGTCAGGCTAATGAAAGTATTGGGGTCCCCTCTTTAAAAAAAATAGCAGACGAGAAAGAGATGGAAATATCATTTCAAGCCCCGTGAAAAGCTGCAAATTTACCACTCTGCAGCATTGATAATGGGGGTGCTTGCAGCCTCAAATGGGGTGCGTTTGTTTGTTTGTTTGTTTGTTTGTTTGTTTCGTTCGTTCGTTTGTTTGTTTGTTTGTTTATAGGATGCCCTGCAGCAACGGCTGGCCCAGCAAGACACTCTGATGCTTCAGATCAAACAGGAGCTGCTGAGAGCAAATATGGACAAGGAGGAATTGCACAGCCAGAATGTGAGTGTGTCTTTTTGCGGTGTGCCAAACCAGCTGGCAGAGGGCAAGGGCTGCCTCTGGAGGCACGGGATCTGGGAGGGGCTTCCCTGGTGTCTCTGTGGGAAGGAGAAGAGGGGAGAGAGGTGGGATGGCCAGGAAGCCTCAGTTCCACTGCTGGGGAGGGAGGAGGGGGGCTGCTGGAAAGGGCCGGGTGGTCCCTGTTGCCTTGCAAAGGGCCAGAAAGGCAGGTTTCGGATCTGCTCCCAGATGCTTCAGCCTGGGGTTGTCAGCCATAGTCCCAACTCCGTGTTCGAATCTTGCTTGTGCAGGCTGATCTCCAGAGGAAGGTGGAAGAGCGGAACCGGCTTCTGGCAGAGTACAAGGTAGGGGGGTTTTACCTGGGGGAGGAGTGCCTTGGGAACTGCTGCCTCCCAGGTAACCAGGAAGTCCTTTCCTCTCGGCTTTCTGAGGCTCAGACCGTGGAGAATTCCCCACCAAGAGAGCCCAGGAGCAGAATTTGTAGCCCCTTGGGGGCCTCTTACTCCATCTTGATGACCCCAGTCGACGTTCTGCTCTTCCCCATCTTGGGGTAGCTGCCCCCCCCCAGCATCTGGCCAGCGAAGGACCCAAAGCAGCCCCTTGGTCCTGAGCTCGGCCCCAGACTGAGTCTCCTTTCCTGGCCGATGGCTCCCATCCTCCCTCTCTCTTCCAGAAAGAGCTAAGCCAGAAGGACCGGCTCCTGCACCAGCACCAGGCCAAGATGGAGGAGATGCTACACCAGCTCTCCGAGGCGGGCTATCAGCAGGTAGGGGCTCCCCCCATCTCCCCGTGTCCTCCTTCCCCTCCAATGGGAGGCGTGCTCTGCTGCTTTTATGCCCTTGCCAGCCGCCCAGAGTCCCTTTGGATAGTGAGACGAGCGGCATATAAATTTAATAAATAAAACTAATTAAACCGTGCCCATTGGCCGATCTGCCTCTTCCCTCCTAGGCCGAGTTGGAACGGGAGCTGCAGCATAAAGAGGCTTTGCTGGCTCGCTGCCTGAAGAAGGACGTGGAGGAGGTTTGTGGTGTTCCAGTGGGCCAGGGGCTCGCCTTTGCACTGACCTCTAATTGTGGAGCAGCGCACTAGAAGAGGGCGAGTCACAGGGACTCTTGACAGGGCCCATACCCTTAGTTTCCTTCTTTCTTTATCTCTGAAAGGAGAGGTATGCAGGCCAGCCAAGATGTTTTATTACCTAGCTTTATCTGCTAGAAGGGAGTGGGGTTTGTGGGGGGGAGGAGGAGGAGGAGCAGCAGCAGCAGCAGCAGCAGCAGCATGGGGTGATGATATAGGTAGTGATGATGTTATTTCAGTAGTGGTTTGATCTCCAAATGTCAACAAGACATTGATAATCTAAGGAAAATAGGACAAGCAAATCCTACTGATGATGTTACCTAGTCTGGTAACGAAACTTTCAGAAACCAAATTGAAACAAGCTTGGGGAGCAAGCCACTGCCAAAATCTAAAACCTGAGCTGCAGGTATTTTCTATTATTTCAAAGCGATGATGTTATCTAGATGGGCCATGAAACGTCTGCAAGAAAACAACCAAGCTCAGAGAGCCCCCAGGACCCCCCAGAGATGAGGTCAACCCTGAGTTACTTGGGGGAGGGGTGCGATAGACGGTTTGGGTCCCTGCCAATTTGCGGGATGCCCAGAATGGACTGGCGGAAGGGGCCTCCAGGTCAGCTCTGCTCCTTCGAAAGCTGCCCTTTTCTCAAACTGGGTCACCCGCAGAGTGTGGTGAGAGACGACGCTGGTTCTGCCAGCGCCTTGTAGCTTCTTAGCGAGGCTTGGGAGCGGCTGCTGGGTTTCCACCTGGCCTTTCCTGGCCTGGCCAACCAGCTTCCCTCCTCTCTTGCAAAGCAGGTGATTCTCTACGCCAGTCACAACTCTCAAAGCAATGGGTTCCTCCAGACTTTGGGGAAAGGAACGGCTTCCTCAACGCACAGAGGGGTATGTTCTGCTCTGACCCCAAGGCTTGGGGAGGGGAGGTCTTTCCCCAGACCTGGGGGGACCATCCTCAATTTTGCAAGCTTTGGGGGGGAGGGGTAGAGGAACTCTCGGAGCATTGGGATGGTGGCATCCACCACCTCCTGGTTTTTTGGACCTCTCCCGGCAGACCAGCGACCTGCAGCTGGTGCGGGAGGCCCTGCGCAGTTTGCGGAACAGCTTCAGCGGCCACGATCCCCAACACCACACCATTGACAGCCTGGAGCAGGGCATCTCCAGCTTGATGGAGAGGCTGCACCGCATGGAGATGCAGAAGAGGCAGGACAAGAGGGTAAGAAGCCATTGGTGGATGTGGTTGGGCCTCCCCACCCTTTGGGGAACTCATAATTTCCTTCCCATGTGTTCTCAGAAGCAGCCCTCACGCTGGGCTTAGGTGGGACACATAAGTGTCCTTGTGCTCTTGAGTCTCTTCTCCTGCCATGGAGGCGGCCATAAAGTCTACTTGAAGTCCATTACCCATGTGGAGGGTCTTCACAAAAGAGGTTCTGCTCTTGGCTTCTGGGACTGATCTGTCCAGCCACTTGGTGGGTCCTCTTCTCTCACCAGATCTCCTTCGTGCTGGAGCTGTGAAGGCAGCTCAGCTCCTGTCCTCAGGCAGTGTCTCAGTCTGAGGAGCTACAGGCCTTGCCTTCTCCCCAGTGCCCCTATTTCGCTCCTGTGGGGGTCCCTTTGAGCAGAGCTGTGTGGGTGCAACAACCCTCCATGGTGCCTTTGTTTCAAGCAGGGTCCTTCAATCAGGCCAACCCATCTTCTCTCCAGCGGCCCCATGTTGGGAGAGCCTCTTGGGTTTCTTCAGAGAGCATCCCGGAAGGACCACCCCAAGTGCTGAATTCTGCTCAGGGGACGTTCAGCTTAATCCAGAGTGCTGGGAACGTGCAGGAGGATTTCCAATCAGCCAGTGGTTATAGCTTCAGTGTAGCTGGGGCTACACTAGGCTCCTCTGGAAGAACTCCTGTCAAGCAATAAAAACCAGGTCATTGGCAAGCCTTGCACACTTAAAATAAGAGAAGGCTTTTGGTCAAATGGTTGCAGATGCCATCTGGATGCTTTTGATACACACACACACACACACACAGAGAGAGAGAGAGAGAGAGAGAGAGAGAGAGAGAGAGAGAGAGAGTACTTCTTGGGGTGAACTCAGGCCTGAGTGTTTCTCTGAAAGAGAGCAGGAAGAGGGTCCAAGGAGCCCATCTCTCGTCCATCTGCTTTCCTTGTCCAGGTCCGAGGGAAGTCGCCTGCAGGCCACGTGGGGAACGAATACCGAGAATCCTGGCCTTCCAATTCCAGTGAGTGCCGTTGCAGAGGGCAGTTCTCCTTCTCCATAGGGAAACGTCCTGCTTCAAGAGGCCCATAGGCCAGGGGTCCTGCGAATTATCCCTGTTTTGAAAAATGGGGCCGGCTTTCCCGCTCCCCTTGGCCGCTTGGACCCAGTTCTTCCTCTTTCTTAGCCCAAGCATGCCGGCTTTTAAGCAGCCTGCCTGGATCCTGTTACGAGCACAAAGGGAACAGCCACCTCTCTGGATATTGGGGCCTCCCGAACACCTAATTATAAGAGTAACTTTAATACATTGAAATATACCAGCCGCCTTCCAGGGACTCTGGGTGGTTTATGAACAATTAAAGCGTTTAAAAAGAAGGAAACAACACAAAACAATGTTAATTGGGGGATTTTCTGTTTTTAAATTTAAAAATAAGTAAGTAGCACTTAGCTACAGCTAGTCCTTGATTTACAACCACAGCTGAGCCCAAAATTTCTGTTGCTAAGGGAGACATTGGTTAATTGAGTTTTGCCTCATTTTACGAACTTTCTTGCCATGGTTGTTAAGTGAATCACTGCAGTAGTTAAGTTAGTAACACGGTTGCTAAGTGAATCTGGCTTCCCCCTTGCCTTTGCTTGTCAGAAGGTCACAATAGGGGATCACGTGACCCTGGGACATGTGACCGTCATAAATGTGAGCCAGTTGCCAAGCGTCTGAATTTTGATCACATGACTACGGGGATGCTGCGACGGTCGTAAGTGTGAAAAATGGTCCTAAGTCACTTTTTCTCAATGCCGTTGATGTAACTCTGAACTGCCACTAAATGAATTGCTGTAAATTGAGGACTCTGTGTATTCCAAAATGGGGCTGCAAAGTGGCTTCCTGAGAATAAGGCACCATCTAGTGATCACAGGTGGGAATGCAGCCTTGGGATCCCAAGTGAAGGATATTGGTTTCTTTCTAACCCAGCTCCCCCCTCTCCCCCCCTTTATAAAGGTGCCACATAACCCCCCCCCCCCTTTCTTCACCCAACTGTCCCTCAAACGGCCCCTTTTACAATCTCCTTTTTTTAGCTCGGGATGGAAGTTCAAGAGCTGGCCAGCCACAGGAAGGACAGTTTCTCCAATCCATCTCTCTTAGTCCAGGGAGAACAAATCTGGCCTGTTGGATTAAACAAGGCTGCAGGGTGTGTGTGTGTGAAAAGAAAGTGGGGTCACCGCCTGGCGGGGCTCAGCCTGTCTTCTCCTCTTTGCAGAACTGCCTCATTCTCACAGCACCCCAGCTGTGAGCAGCGGCGCCTGCACCAAGGTGCTGTATTTCACCGATCGCTCCCTCACCCCCTTCATGGTCAGCATTCCCAAGAGGTAAGCCAGCAGCCCCCCTCCAATCCCCATAACCCCAACCCCAGATCCTCTTTCCAGGACCCCCGAGTGGGTGTCTCCAAGGGATTCCCCTCCCAGCATGAAGGTGGTAGCTGTGCCCTTCCTCTCCCCTCGTGCATTGCAGGCTGGGGGAAGTGACTCTAAGGGACTTCAAAGCGGCTATCGATCGGGATGGGACGCACCGGTACCACTTCAAAGCTCTGGATCCGGAGTTTGGGACTGTCAAAGAGGAGGTAAGGGCGCACCCGGCAGGCGCGGGAAGCAAGAACGACACCGGTAAATGCCCATAGTATAGGTAGTCCTCGACTTAACAACAGTTCATTTAGTGACTGTTTGAAGTTACAACAGCACTGGACAAAGTGACTTACGACCATTTTTCACACTTGCAACCGTTGCAGCATCCTCCTGGTCATGTGATTTACATTCAGATGCTTGACAGCTGGTTCATATTTATGATGGGGTCACGTGCAGCGTCCCGGGGGGGGGTGTCATGCGATCCCCTTTAGCGACCTCCTGACAAGCAAAGTCAATGGGGGGAGCCAGGTTTCCTTAACAGCCATGTTGCTAACTTAACAACTGCAGCGATTCTCTTAACAAGTGTGGCGAGAAAGGTCACAAAATGGGGCCAAACTCACTTCACAACTGTCTCCCTTAGCAACATAAATTTGGAGCTGAATTGTGGACCGTACGTTGAGGACTAGCTGTGGTTTCTTTATTGCTGTCCGCCCGTGGACAGAATCTTGCCAGAGTGAAGCGTGCTCTGCGTAGTTATCTGATAAATGCTGTGAAGGATTTAAGGGGGATCCTTTCTGTGCAGCTCCTGCCTGGCAATGAAGAGGGAGGTTTGCTTTGTCCCCCCCCCCCCCCGAGCCCCAGATTCTACCCACCAGCATCTTTTCTGTGGGCTGCAGAAGTTGTCCTACACCACGATGGGATGTTTCTTCTCCCTGGAAATGCTGGCGTTTGGCTCTCACCGGTGGAGCGAAAGCCAAGGGGCAGGAAAGTGTGTGTGTGTGTGTGTGTGTGTACGTACGTACGTACGTGTGTGCTCATATGCGTGTGTGAGCATGAAAAAAAATCACACCCTGCAGCCCTGAACAACAAGAACGTCCCAGTAAGCTAGAAAAGTGGGTCAGCTCTGTTTTTCCCTCGAGTGGTGTGAGTTTTGAGTTCTCACTTGTCATGTTCAGAGTGAGATTTGGTTTCTCAAGAATTGTGGTGACAACCTCGGGGCCTGTCCTAGAAACGCTGAAGAGGAGATTTCAGGCCAGTTCCCAGTTAGAGGCAGGCGACCCCTGGGCTGTTTCTAGTCACCATCTTTTAATCAAGGCTTTAATCAAGGTTTGTATGTTTCAGTCGAACAGCTAGTCCTCAATGTACGACCACAATTGAGCCCAACATTTATGTGGCTAAGTGAGACAGTTGTTAAGTGAGTTTTGCCCCGTTTTACAACCTTTCTTGCCACAATTGTTAAGTGAATCCCTGCAGTTGTTCAGAGATTTAGTTAGTTACACAGTGGTTAAGTGAATCTGGCTCCCTCATTGGTTTTTGCTTGTGAGGAGGTCGCAAAAGGGGGGTCACGTGACCCCGGGGCACAGCAAGGGTCATAAATACATGTCAGCTGCCAAGCAGCTGAATTTTGATCATGTGACCATAGGGATGCTGCAATGGTCATAAGTCACTTTTTTCAGTGCCGTTGTAACTTTGAACGGTCACTAAATGGACTGTTGTAGGTCAAGGACTACCTGTAGTTTATAAATTAGATGGTTGGATAGATGGACCTTAACCTTGACAACTTTAACAAGTTGTTAAGAACTCCCAGAGTTCCTCAGCCAGCTGGGGAAAACTGGGAGTTGAAGTCCACCCATCTTAAGATTGTCAAGATTGAGAAACGCTGCTGTGGATGGATGGATGGATGGATGGATAAATAAGGTCCTTCTCTTTGATTTTCATGTAGGTTTTCCATGATGACGATCTTATTCCTGGATGGGAGGGCAAGATTGTGGCTTGGGTGGAAGAGGACCATGGGGAGAACTAAAATCTTTGCTGTCGGCTGCTGGATGTGCCAGATGCTCACCAAAAAAACCCCCACCCCTCACACCAATGATATGTGTGATTTAAACTGCCAAAAGAAAGGAACCGTGATGAACTTTGGCTTCAAGGAAGGATGTCCGTCACCTTATAACCAAATACGGTCCCTTTCAACCGTTCCAACACACTGCCTCTCTATTTGGTCAGGGATGGTCCTAAAAGACTTCTTGCTGCTTTTGATCATCTGGAGAAGTTCGGTCAACGATGGACAGCATTAGGAGTAAGATTTGCACATTTGTGATGGCCAAAACTAGGAACTCTTTTCCAGCACTGTTGTAGCTCTCTTGCCAGCCAATTTTTTCAACGAACTCTGTACCCAGGCCACATCAGGCACCAACAAGATCTCCTTCAGAGATCCAGTGGTTTGTGGTCCAGATAAAAGATCCAATCAACAGCATTGTGTTGGAAAAGGCCAGGATTGTTACATTTGCTTTTATCATTTTGCATTCTGGTCTTGAAACTGTCCCTACTTTATTTGAGGGTCTGTGTGAAAAAGATTGCTACCCGCTGCTTCCCTGCCCAGGTTCCCCTTCTGGCTTTGCCTGGGGAAAAGACCCCAAGCTCCCCACCTTTGCTTTTCCAGGGTTGTATTGGCACCACGTGATCTTCTCTGCCCTACTTTCCTTCTGGATGCTCTTTAATTAATTCATCACCAGCAGCCTCAGAGGAAAGGCTGATCCCTCTGGTTTCCCCATAGTTTGGTCTGAATTTGGCATTGATTTTTCCACAATGGCTAATTTCAGTCTGCCTTATCAGCTGAGATGGGTAGATAAGATGGGTGGGATGCGAGATAAATGTTCACAAAGGGTTGCAGCAAGATTCCTGGAAGGTCTGTGAGCAGAAAGCGGGCAAAACTCCAGGCCCTTCTTTATGGGCTGAAGCTTTTGCGCACAACTCCAGCAACTGTCAAGTAGTCTTTCCCCTTTTGCCCTGCTGACAGCAAGAAGGTCATCTGCCTGGTGGGCCTCAAGCAGAATTTAATTTAGGCCCCCAATGCTCACCCCACCACCCGTTTGCAATGGTCTGCAAAACTGGTGGTTCAGCCCTTGGAACCATCAGCCGGCTGGGTGATCTTAGCCACTCTGGAAAGAATTTTGCACCAGTCGGACTTCAGACATAAATAGGACAGATGCATCAACTTTATGGACTACTGAGTTTGTATAGAGGTTGGAGATAAATGCTCTAACGGAGTGAATTATTCATTCTTAGCTTTATAGAGAAAGCAGGCCTGGACAGGTTGAGTGTTTTAAGGGGGAATATTTTGATGCACAAAGTGTTTGCCATTATTCTATACAAGCCTCAGTTCCTTAGGAGCCAGTCAGTAGACCGAAGTCACCACAAGTGAAGAGTTACCTAGGTAGGTGTCTATAAGAGGCCATCATGATGTCATGAGTGTGACATCACCTGCCCACCCATGCAGAAGTCTGTGATAACAGGGTACCTTTTTCTTCTACACTCTCTTCCTGATTTTTGTGCTCGAAAATGCTGAATTAGGAGTGGGAAGTATCCCCTTTGCATATCTTGTGCAACCAAACGCCTCAGCTCTGCTTGAATGAAAAATGGGGCCCAGTGAAAGCCAGAATTTGCTTTAGTGTTGCTGCTTTGCTGCTCGCCATTCCATCTTTCCTAACGTTGCAGCACCAGGCTCCGAAGCCTCGTAGCTGCTTGTGTGCACCAGCCATCGGAAGGACCGTCTGTCTGTATGTCCAGCCGTCTTCTATGTCCTTCTTGCGGAAGGCTGAAAGTCAAAAACAAATCGTGTCTTTGATCATTTTATAGATTTCCACACATCTGTTGGGTAAACTTGTTCCTGTTTCTTGGAATTACTTTATATTGCTTTACATCATTGTTGAACAAGGACAGTGTATATTTTTATACCAGCGTGAGTGCTGTTTTTTCCTGTATATTTCTGAATATTGTATTTTATCCATATTTCTAGGAAATGCAGAAAGGCTTTATACATGCCTTTTGTTAATGCCAACACACCTGGTTCCCATAATTAGCTTTATTTTGCTATGAAGGTATATCTTAAGTCCGCAGTGGTTTTCTATTTTACTTGCTTGTTGCAAAGATAAGATTTGTATGTTGTTTGTCCTATTGTGTCCTCTGTGTACAGACAGAACGGGCCTTTTGAAAGCCTGTGTTTGTATTTGCAGTTACACTTTGAGTGTATCCTATTATAGGAATTTTAAAGTTGGCTTCTGAGAGAACAGTGGATGAGGGATGTCATTCCTGAAAAAAATACTTTTTTTTGTGACTGGTTTGACTGTTGCATGAATTTAGTGGGTTGCAAAGAGATTGCATGGAATTATAGTTACTTTAAAAAAGAATTTATTTCCGCAAGAGATGTGCTTTAAAGTTAAAATTGTACATTTTTTTAAAAGAACATATTTTATTTAAATTTAATTAAGACATCTTTATCACAAGGGCTCATCGCCAGACATGGGAAAATAGAGGTCAAAGAAGTGTAAAAGTGTTTTTATGACCGGATTGGCATCTTTTGCTTCCATAAAACTAATTTCATTTTTTAAAATCTGTTATCTCTGAACTTTGTCCCTGAAATAACATAAACAGTGTTGCATTACCGGTTCCAGGATCATTTTTTTCTCCCTTGGCACCATCCCCAACCTGTTTGCTCTTGAGATGGCTTGGATTGGAGCAGATCTTAATCCTAGGGCTCACCTGGTTGAGGATTATGGGATTTTTATCCAGCAGGAGAGCAGGCCTAGGGAGTCTGTCCTACCCAGGATGTCTAACCTTGGCAACTTTTAAGACCTGACAACTTCCAGCTCCCAGAAACGGAGCAGAAAAGCAACCATAACCAAGCTCAACCCTTGCATTTTTCATTCAGGAGTTTTCCAACCTGTGACTCATTATGCAGAGGGGAGAGAGCAGATTCCCAGCCCCAAGTGTGTGTGTGTGTGTGGGGGGGATGTTTTCCCATAGGGCAAGACAATAACCAGAAAGCTGAGTCTCAGCCTGTGATGTTATTTCCTGTACAGTTTGTTTAGTGACCTTTCAAAATTACAACAGCACTGGAAAAAGCAATGACTGTTTTTCAGATTCACGACCTTTGCAGCATCCCCTGTGGTCGTGTGATCCAAATTCAGACACTTGGCAACTGGCTCGTATTTATGACGGTTGCAGCATCCTGGGATCATGTGATCCTGCTTTGTGACCTGACAAGCAAAATCAATGGGGAAGCCAGATTCACTTAACAACGTGTGATGACTGCAGTGATTCACTTAACAACTGTGGCAAGAAAGGTCGTACAATGGGGCAAAACTCGCTCAACAAATGTCTCCGTTAACAACAAATGTTGCCGTCCAAGGAGGAGCAGCGGCGCTGGGCTCCCAACCCCCCAAAGGGATCCCCGATCCAAAGGAATCCAAAAGAGATGCAGGCTCCGCGGATTGCTTGGGGAGGGCGCTCCGGGGTGGGCGCGAAAGGGGGCGCAGAGCCCACCATGCAAAGAGATTCCCCCCCTTTCTTGGAAGGGACCCCTCCTTGGATGCATTTGGGTCCGGCGCAAACCGGGGAAGGGCTGCACCGGAGCCCGGCCTGCAGCCCCCGACACAGCACGAAACCCACCTGCCCCCTCCCCTTTTTGCGCAGACCCGCCCCGCTGCGAAGCGCCGCAAAGGCAGCTCCGTCCGCAGCAGCAGCGGCCACGTGCAGCCTCGGGGAGCAGAGCGCATGCGCGGCCTGGGAGGTCGCCTCGGGTCAGGCCGCGCCGGCCGAAGCCCCGCCCCCTCCGCGCGCTGCTTGACGGCCCTTTTGCGACGCCGTCGCGCGACGCCCCGCGCTGCCCGCCCGGGGGGAGAAGGGAGGTCACCCGCCCGCCCTCCGCCTGACAGGACCGCTGCTCCGCCGCCGCCGCTGCCGCCGCTCGGACCGGGATGTGGCGGGTGCTGGTCAGGCGTCTGTGGCAGGGCGCGGCCCCGCGGGGGGCTCGGCTGCCGGGCGCGCGCGNCCCCCTGCCTTATTTACCTGAGGGGGCCTTTTCGCCTGGAATAAGGGGAAGGGGGGTCTAAGGGGGTCTCGTCCCGGCTTCCCCTCTGGATGGGGCCTGGGTGGGGGGTGGGGTGGGGGTTCCCATGGGTGACTTTGATGCTGAAATCCCCCATCCTCCCCTCAGGAGCCCACTCTGCCACCCCCGAGCATCCCTCCCCTTGAGGGGCCTGGAGCGCCTTCATGCCCGGCTGCTTCTCCCCCTGTGGAGCCCCGAGGGGGTTCTGGAGATCTCCTGCAGGGGGAAGGGGCTGTGGCAATAAAGGAGACTATTTGCAGCTCAGGGTTGAAATGAGGAGTTCCTGGGTGCTCCCTGAGCTTGGAAGGGGCTGGGTCTAATCAATGGAAACTCATCAAGGAGAGACCCAACCTGGAATTAATTAATTCCTGACAGTGAGAACAATTAACCAGCCGAATGACTTGCCTCCAGAAGTTGTGGGTGCTCCATCACTGGAGGTTGAGCAGGGGGCTGGACTAGAAGACCTCAAAGGTCCCTTCCAGCTCTGCCGTTCTGTGATTCTTCATCCCTTGCTTCCTCCACAGGTGCCTTTGCCCGCCCTCTCCCCCACCATGCAGATGGGGACCATTGCGCGTTGGGAGAAGAAAGAGGGGGAGAAGATCAACGAGGGAGACTTGATTGCAGAGGTATTTTGAAAGGGCGGAAGCGGAAGCTTTCCTGCCAGGCTGATGGGATGGTTGGGAATTTGACCCTCATTTGTCACCTTTCCTGATAGGTTTTTGAATTAGCAACATTGTGCAGGCGACTCTGCATTTTTACTCTGCTAACACTTTTTTTGTCACTCTTCGTGACTGATATGGGAGGTAGAACTTGACTTTGGACAGGATTGCTTGACAGTGTACAGTTGTGAAATGTATTTCAGGGAAATTGTTGTGTGTGTGTTAAAGGTAGAGACAGACAAAGCAACGGTGGGGTTTGAGAGCATGGAAGAATGCTACCTGGCCAAGATCCTGGTCCCCGAAGGAACGCGGGATGTTCCCATTGGATCCATCATCTGCATCACTGTGGACAAGTGAGTCACACTAGGCAGGTTCCCAATATCTTTTACTTCCTTCATTTTTCTTTCTCCCCCATAATTATTACAATTTAAAAAAACCTCTCCCACCACCACAACTTCTCCCTTTAAAGGTGCCCGTCTTTCTATTGAGTTAATGTTCTTTTTGAACAGCAAACATGTCCTGGGTCTTGTGTGGTCTTGCTTCCCATCTTTTGGGTTTAAGGCTTGAGTGGGTTCCTGATTGCAGTGTTAGAGGACTGCCATCCCTTGATAGTGGCTTATGGTTCCTTCCTTCTTTTAGGCCTGAACTTATTGGCGCCTTCAAGGATTATACTTTGGATTCAGCAGCTGCCACCCCATCAGCCTCGGTACCACCCCCACCTCCTCCAGCTGCTCCCCCCAAACCAGCAGCTCAGCCATCTGCACAAGCTCCAGGCAGCTCCTATCCTCCCCATATGCAAGTACGACCCACCTCCCAGTTTGCATTCTTTTCTTGCCCACTTTCCTTATGGCACATTTTAGCTTTAGACCCCTTCATAACCCCCAGACTCAGTGCCTGCTGTGAGCCTCATTTGCTGAGGGAGCAAGAGAGCACACGGGCTGATTTGATGGATCTGAAGGCCTAGTGGATGATTCCATTGTCCAGGCACGGATGGAACTTCCAGTATCTGTTGAGTGACTTTGATTCTGGCTGTGAACATTGAAACTCAGAATTCAGATGCACTGGTTATATAATCAGAATGTTCCTTTGCATGATGCTCATGCTTCTCTTCTTCAGAGGAATTTTTTGTTTGGTTAAAGGTCCGCAGTGCATTTTATCTTTTTTTTATTCTTTGTAACAGAGGCAAAGAAGGGCAAATGTTGACTGGTAATGCTGGATTTTGAAATGCATATCAATGCAGTGCTGCCTTTTCCACTCTCCTAGATTCTTCTTCCTGCCCTCTCTCCTACAATGACAATGGGCACCGTGCAGAGGTGGGAAAAGAAGGTTGGCGAGAAGCTGAGCGAAGGAGATTTATTGGCAGAAATTGAGACAGACAAAGCAACAATAGGTGAGAATTTCTCCATCCTCAACAACAAAATCTTTGTGGGAGGCTTTGCTGTTTGCTTTTCTTACAGGATGAGCAAAATGGACAAGATCCCCTTTTTCATCCTTACAACATTAGATAACAGCACCGGATAATACTGCCAGAGCAATATTTGAAACATTATTCATTTGCCTTGTAAAGGTTAGATATTTGCCCCCCCCCCCCCAAAAAAAGTTCCAGATTATTTGCCTTGCAGGTGGCATCTCCCTATTTCCTAATTTCATCGATGGTTTGTCGGTGATCCTGTTTGCTGGAATGCCTGATGATTTATTCCATCTCCAAGCTTGGTCGATTCTTTTCCCTCCCAAAGTGCTTATTTTTCTCTCTCTACTTTGCAGGCTTTGAAGTGCAAGAAGAAGGTTACCTGGCAAAGATCTTGATACCAGAAGGCACCCGAGACGTCCCCTTGGGAACCGTTCTCTGTATCATTGTGGAGAAGGAATCGGACATTCCTGCTTTTGCAGACTACAGAGATGTTGGGATCGCTGATATCAAACCTCCCGTGTCCCCACCGCCTCTGCCCCCAAGCCCAGTACGAGCAACCTCCAGAAGGAGACCTCGGGAGGGAAAGCGAAGTGGTGGTGGGGTGCCCAGCTGGTTTCTCAGAGCCCCAGGGAGATTTCAGCTTCCTCTTGGGCAGGAGACTTTCTTAGCTGGAAGTGGCCTCTAGACATTCATTCATTTATTCATAAAATGTATTGGTCACCCATCTTACCACAAGGTAGCTCCCAGCAGCTATAATAAAAGATATTATATATATATTAAAAACATAACACTCACAAATGTTATTAATCCTTTACAAAGGAAGTGCAGGACTGTTCCTATGCCTTCTTTACCTAAAAAAAAAAGAAAATCTCTCTGTAAAAAACTACCTAATAAAAAGGCTACTTACCAGTTTAAAGAAAACATATCAGGGTGGTGGTGAAGCTTCTATTGGGTGGCAGAGAGACTTTTAGAGAGTTTGGACTGAATACATTTAACAAATAATAAATAAGCGGGCTTTCCTGGCCTGCTCCCACTAGCACTCGTGAGTTTTGACTATGTGTGAATATCGTCCTGCCGTAGTCCTGTTGTATGGAGGACTAAAGGTGATTAATGCCACATGCTAGGCGTACGTTCATGGATGCAGCAGTCAAATGAACTTGGGATGGTGGAGAATTTCCAACAGGGTCCATCTTGAGAACTCTTCTGTCCTTTTATTTCTTAAGGCAGCAGCTGTTTCAGCCCAGCCTGTTGCCTCTCCGGTCAAGACTCCTGCACATAAAGGGAGGATAATAGTGAGCCCTCTGGCAAAGAAATTAGCCGCAGAGAGAGGAATCGATCTCTCGCAGGTGAAAGGTGAGCAACATCTTTTCCGAGGCCTCGTCAGCCATCGCCTAAAATGGTTTAATTTCTTGTTGGGTAAGAAGATCTTCCTTGTACGTCTCATCAGGTACAGGGCCAGAGGGACGGATCACAAAGAAGGACATTGACTCATTCGTGCCATCTAAAGTTGCCCCGGTGAGTAGCACGTTGGTTCTGCTGTGTAGCAGGAACGTATCTGCAGAGGGTTGCCTGAGTTAGGATCTGATTTGGGGAAACTTCATCCTATTATTATTATTATTATTATTATTAATTGCATTTATATCCCGCCCTTCTCCTTTCGGACTCAGGGCGGCTGACAGATGATAAAAAGCTAACATAAATACATATTACACCTAATTAAAATTTAATTAAAACGAAATATTTGAAAGTGTCCAATTAAAAGTAATTAAAACCCCTATAAAATCCCCTAGGCCAGTCCCGC